ACTAAAATTAATAAAGTGGTCTACATGATGTAGATCAGTACTTAAGATTTCATGAAATTTATTGTGTAATTAATATTATAAGTCGTTTTAAAAGTTAAGATTATTTTAACAACCTTGGAGATTGCAACATTAAAATATATAACATACTACTTATTTATTTTTATTGTGTCAGGCAAGAAAGCTTCCATTCTGACGCTAAGACATAGATTATACATAAACAAATCAGTGGCGCTACAACCTCTTTAGGTCTTGGCCTCAGATTTCTGAATCTGTTTCATGATCATTTTTAAACTATAGGCAAGTAGGTGATCGGCCTCCAGTCCCACACGCCTTCGACTTTGGGTCTAAGACGGTTTCCTCACGATGTTTTCCTTCACCATTCGAGCAAATGTTAATTGCGCACATAGAAAGAAAGTCCATTGGTGCACAGCTGGGGATCGAGCCTACGACCTCAGGTACGAGAGTCGCACGCTGAAGCCACTAGGCCAACACTGCTGCTATAGATTAGAGATAGATAATCTATGCACTAGGAGACTAGGCTAAACAATTGCCAAACAGTCTGAAATCTCGGCTAACGAAATTTACAGATATCAATGAATCTAGTATACGAGTATCATTAGACGGTACATGCAATGCGCGTGGGCACGGCGTGGGCGCCCGGAAGGAAACGAAGCCTTTGACTTTCAATCTCCGACGACGATTGCGATCTTTCGCATAAATCAAAGATTATCCGTTTAGATGTTTTTGAAGATTTGACCGATCAAAACTTGTGTAGGAGGGATATTTGGCTGAACACTAAAATTGTGGGTATTGCATAATTTATAACGTAGCCTATGAGGTTGATTTAATGATTCGAGACAATAATTTTGGATTTAATGTTTGTAAAGTATACTGTGATAGTGATGAAACTTATGTTACTACACTAATGTGTAAGATTTCCCACTATATAATTATAGTGGGAAATCTTAGGATCTTTTCATATGTGATAAATACAAGTTCGGATTATTAAAAATTCATCATTATTATATAAAAGACAACTTTTAGAAAGTGTAAGTCTCAATACAAAATTTAAAGTAGAAGTTGCAGCAATAATCATTAATCATTTGTAGATTATGAAAAACATAACTTTTTAACAGATTAAACGATAATTTGTCACATTGTTAAGACAATTTGACGTTTCGAATGCTTTTCAGCAACAGTCGTCAGTGGAAGACTACCACATTCAGTTTAAAAGAACTATTTAATAATGTTATGATTTAGAATATATTAAAAGTTGGCAATAACCCGATGGATTCTTAAATAAATGATTTATTATGTCCCCTTGATTTCAGTGTCTTATTTGTGATTTAATTAATTAACAACTGTACACCAAAATCTGAAAAGATCCCGATTTAAGTTTGGGTATTTTCACATCAGAAATAGTCTGGGAATCTTAATTTTTTTCTAAGGATTTGAGGTTGGTCAAAACGTAAAAAACTGTGTTATATAAAGTGTGATTATATAGTAAATAATTATGTAGTTCTTTATCTTTTGGGCTAGCTAGTTATTATAAAAAACATTATAAATCTATACCAAAGTATCGAATGGCCAATATCCAATATATATTCAAGGTACTTTAGCAAAATTTAGCTTAAACGTCTTACTGGTAAATCTTGTAGATCTAAACCACTTTCGCTGTAAGATTTGTTACAACTATATTAAAATTTATAAAAGATTTTATATAATAATCTATTGCTATAAATCCAAATGTAACCTGTGAGACCAAGTATTTAATAGTAAGAATAAGTAATTCTAAAAATAGCGTTTTAATTGTGATAATATTATTTTTCTTTTGAAAATATAATTGAAGACGTCTACGAATCCTACTCGATAATAAACAAAAATAGAATACAGATTATAATTAGTTACTGTCGTACAAAAATATATAAAAACTTCTTAAAGATGGTCTGGAATGTTTTGATTAATTTGACATTTTCTGTACTTTTTAATCCGAAACAATGATTATTTCATTAAAAATTTAACTTAGCAACTTAAGGTTATATTGTGCGTTATAGAGATGGTTCATCACTGGTGGACCAAAGACTTTACACACAATGAATAAGAATAAACAGTTACTAAACTTCAAGTTCTGTATACTTAATTTTTTGGTTTTGAAAAGAAGAAATTTAAATTCAAATAAAATGTATTATTAAAGTTATCAAAGACGTATTATAAGTACTCAGAAGCTTAATATAATATTCATCTTGAAAGTTTAGCTTTATAAAAAGGTCCATATCATTTTCTTCGGTAATATTCATAAAGAATTTAATTTCTCATTCAAACTAATAATACCAGACTTTGTTATACTCAGTCACCTGATTCCGTAACTTCGTAGTTAAAGATAAAATCAATGGAAATTTATTCACTTTTCGGGAGAAAGTTTCAAAGTAAGCGAAATCGAGCTTAGTTATTGAATCATTTTTCATATTGAGACAAAATCCAATCAATTAAAGAAATTCATTTTTTAATATTTAAATTATTTAAAGAAAGATTACACTCCTCCCTCAAAGCCAGGCAACGCATTTACTAAAATGGGTGTCGATGGGCTGCGATGTCTGCCCTTTTTGGGCATCCTAGGTTCGTTTGCCCCCCTATCCATTAAAAAAAATATTAAGGCAAGTCAAAATGTTAGGTGTTTCCCAAGCGGAGCATAGATAAAATTATGAGATAGAATGAAGCAATTTTTTTTCTCAGGTAATAAAAAAATATACACTAGTGCTATATAAACATAGACTACGTTGAGGGTCGATTCTGGATCCTGATGTCGTGCATTCAAATCCTGGTCGTGTAACCCTTGTTCGTACGGTAAAAGACAGAATCAGCAATTTGTGAACTTATTTTTTACATTATCTGGAAACAAGTTTATTTACCGTTTACAAAATGTCAAAAAATAATACTTCTTATAGTTGTTTTTAAGCTATATATAAAGTAATAGGACTATAGCGAAAACTTAAAAATATATAACCGTTTAAAACAACTTCTTTAATACCAAGATACGTTGACTGATACAAGAATATATTCGCTAATAACATGAATATTATCTTTATGGCAGGTATCGCCTTTCATTGATCGAGTAGTGACCAATTAACGTCTCATCTGCATTATAAAGCCTTAACCAAATTCCTTGTCGTATCAAAACTTGTATTTTTATCACAGGAAGCTAGTGAATCGTAAACAGCCTTTAATGTATAGAATACGCGGCAGGCAACATAACTAGACAAACATTCTAGAGTTCAACTATAATAATATTGATAACATTAAATCATCGCAAATATCCTAATTAACTCATTGAATTTTAAAAGTATTATGAAGGGCATTTTGTTAAGTAAGATATGTTTGAATAACCAACTAGAACCAAGTACAGTACTGAATGTTGCAATTTTGCAGCTGACATAATAAAACAATTTTTTTTACCATATAAAAAGTTTTGTAACCATAAGCAAAAAGCGCGGTCTATACCTGGGCATCAAAGCTCCGAAAGCAAGACAGGTTTGGCGTGTGCCCGCGCCGGAAACTCGGCTAGATGCGTTACTCAAAATTCTTGTATTTAATCAAAGCTTACTTTAACGGTATTCTCTCTTAACGAGGCGACTATGTTAATTTATAATTGATGGCCGATGTCATGTCTCACTTTGATCGTTATGAAACACGATCGGAATAATTAAAAAATGTACATTTTGTTGACAACAGTGTTGGCCTAGTGGCTTCAACGTGCGACTCTCATCCCTGAGGTCATAGGTTCGATCCCCGGCTGTGCACCAATGGACTTTATTTCTATGTGCGCATCGAACATTTGCTCGAACGGTGAAGGAAAATATCGTGAGGAAACCGGCTTGCCTTAGACCCAAGAAGTCGACGGCGTGCGTCAGACACAGGAGGCTCATCAACTTGCCTATTAGATTTACAAATGATCATGAAACAGGTTCAGAAATCTGAGGCCCAGACCTATAAAAAAAGGTTGTAGCGTAAAAATTAAATCAGTGGGATTTAATTTTTTTTTCATTTAGATGACTACAATTGTTGGTTTTATTATTTTATTATCTAAGAAACTTGTGTTCTATTTGCAAATTTTAAGCAACCTTTGTTTTTGAATAGTCCATATATTACAAACAAACATCAAATGGGCATGAGTAACAAGTGGCGGATAAGCCGAAAGTAAACTTGTGAAGGAAAAGTAAACCCGGAATAACCGATTGAAGGGATGTAGGTACTTTCCTATAAATAGGCCAGGAAATCTCCAATAATCCAAAACGGAAAGAAAAAACTACCTTAAATTAATGTATGGTATATTAACGGTATCAGTGCTACGCTAGTGGAAAAACATGCCAAGAGTGACTGATTTATTTACAAGGCGGACTTTCAAAATATTAACTAAATTAATAAAAAATCATTATATCAGTTATTTCATAGAACTTTAAACAATTAAAATTAATGATCCTTTTAACAAATTCGGAGTGCTGATAAATAGCATAGAGAAAATATATGAGCTACATAGAACAAAATAAAATAAATGTCTAGGCGTGGGTTTTGTCGCGTGCGCAACCTACGCTTTAAATGTATTATTTTTCAACTTGGCTTCGTTAAAATTAATGCTTTAAATTTCTCTGCTATTACGCATAATATACTCTATCGTAGAAAATTATTTCACTTCACGAAAACGCCTGTTGCTTGATAATATGTACTCCTCTTTATCTTTAGTTATACCTATTATTTTTGGGGGCCCAATTTCAGGAAAATTAATAGAATTTTTTTTCTGTTCTTTATGGATAAGACTTCAGACAACACAGAAATGTGATATTTTCCTTTACTCTTCAAGTAAGTCATTTAAGTATAAATCAAGAAAAAACAAGATTTTACTTTGCTCCTGAAGTTATCAATTGGACGTGCATTATTTGATCGGTGTAACAAAATGACCTCTAGTTATTAATCAGTGTACTTCTTTAATTTTCCTTTTAAGCCATCTAGAATTGTATTCGGAGCTGTGTTCCAGCGACTGGCCCATAAAGGTTTTTGCCCCGAAGCCAGTTTGCTAAAGTAAATCGACTGCGGCTAGATGGCACTGAGGGCAAAAAATTATTTCCGTCGGCTTGCTCGTACAATAGAGATATATAGCGATGTGGGCCTGTTCCGCGAGGTGGAGTTGGTGGCTTATACCCTGAAAAAAAAAGAGTTTTAGTTTTTTTCTTTAAAATGTACATAATCTATACAAAGAGAACATTACCTCTATAGTCAATTCCCACAGTTTTTACACTTTCCTTTCCTTTTAGAGCCAGACCCTGGAAAATAATCATATTAGTGATAAATGTGTTTTATTAATTTTAAAGAGTATTAAACTCAGAATTACCGGAATATTCGATTTTAGCATGTGTAAGAAGAACTCTCCGTCCAACTGAGGAGGAGCATCAGGGTCTACCATAATGATCGTGTAGAATTTTTTCTGAAAAAAAAAAAAAATAATTAATAAAATATTTGTTCAACTGTACGTTGTTATACCTATCATGTGTTGAAAAAACGCACAAATTAAGCTTGTGGGTTGAGTAAGTGACTTTGTGATCTTAAAAATACATACCGAATCAGCAAGAGGATATTGAAATAAAGGCTCTTCAAGAAAAACTTGCTTTGGAAGTAAGACATCGCAATTATGGTCATTAACCATTGTGCCACCAACACTGGTGATATTTAAACCTGTAAGGTGCTCACAACCTTCCAGCAAATTTTTTACATCAGCTACTGTACATTGTGGCTGCGCTGCAAAAGCGAACTTTAACAATAAAGTAAAATATAATATTAACATTTTTTGACCGTACTTGTTTAATAGTAACTAATAACTGAAACAATGATTGCTATCGCATTTGGTATGGATTGTATAGAAATTTGCAATGTTTACTAAATTGAGTTGCGGTTTGTCGCATACAAGTTGATGAATTTGTAAATATTGTAGCTATGTTAAGCTATACTTTAGCTAGGTAGGTAAGCAATCTTTACTGAGACCAAAAAACGATCATTTTAATTCCTATAAACACGAGAGCTGAAGCAGCTTTTGTTTACAGAGCTGCTCTGCAAATACAAGCCATAATGCAAGTTATTTAAGTGATTCAGAAATAAGGTAAAAACTATTTAATATATACAATTATAATATAATTTAACTCAACTATTAATTTTTATATTAATAAGGTAATATAATAATATCGATGATTATTTATGGGTGCTATATTCATCAACATACAGACTATGTGTAACTAAAATGTCAAGTTTATTTTATTGTTAGTGACTGTCATCTATCATTGTTATTGTTAATGTAAATTTTATAAAGCACTTTCCTAGTTACTTGGATTCCGTCGTTGCGGGTATAAGTGTTTACACGTGTTTCGGATATCATTATTTAGTAGTTTCTATTTTTTCTCGTAGTTTAATGAATATAAGTTGACTTATCCTATTGGTGGTGGTTAATTAATAACATCAACTAATTACGTAAGTTATTTTTATTTATTTGTTATATTTCTCCCTTTACCTTGTTATATTTTTGGTAGTCTATAATGGAGAAACGCCCTCCAGACCCCCTGATCCTCCGGATAGGGTCTCTTCTCCGGTGGAATCAATGGATTTATCCACCCCACTGTTGCCCCAACCTGGGGTCAAGCGCAGACTTGATACTGTCAATGAATCTTTAGTGGAACCTTCCAAAAAACCAATGACCGATGTCCGGTCATCTGTTGATGACGTCAACCCAGGATTTTACTCCCATCCATCTCTCACTGGCTCTCCCAAGTCGTACCTTGTCAATGACAAGGGCCCTTTTTTAGTCCATGTTTCTTGCCCTGAATCTGACCCATCCGCTGGTACATCAATCCGCCCAATTAAATTTGGTCACTTCTTGGTAAAAAATAAAATACCCAACATTGTTCGAGATGGTGTTAAGAGAGTGGGACGTAATAGAATATCTGTCGAGTTTAAGTCGGGCTTAGATGCGAATAATTTTGTGTCTAATCCCATTGTACCTTCCAGCAACTATTCTGTTACGATTCCTAACTATAATGTTTCCCGTATGGGCCTTGTGAGAGGTGTCCCAGCTGATTGGTCGATGCAGGAATTTGTCGAAACCTTGGAAATTCCCGAAGGTACAGGTATAGTCCTCAAGGCCAGACGCCTAAACCGCAAGACGAACTCCGATGGTCAAATTAATTGGATCCCAACACAAACCGTTGTTCTAACTTTTCAAGGTCAAACCCTTCCTGAGAGAATATTCTCTTGTCATAGTTCCCTCCGCGTTGAAACGTACCAACTCCCTACAATTCAGTGCCTTAACTGTTGTAGGTTTGGTCACGTAAAGTCACAATGCCGATCGAAGCCTAGGTGTTTTCGTTGTAGTCTAGCCCATTCTGGTGATGAGTGTAATATCCCTGAAACAGAGTCATTATGTTTATTTTGTACTGCCTCACACTTTGCGACCAACAAAGCTTGCCCTGAACATAATCGACAAAGAAATATAAAGAGTTGTATGTCTCAAGAGAGCATTTCTTATCTCGAAGCATCGGCTCGGTTTAGACCTATCAATGGCAAAACTTTTGCAGATTCTGTAAAAACAACCCCCTCCTCTTTATCCCAGCCCATTACTTTACCTTCCCAAGTTTCCCGTCAGACTACATCTTACAGGAAAACTGTATTTCTCCCTCCTCGCTCTAGACCAACATCAGGAAAATCCTTTGATAAGGCGGCCCATGAGGCCATTACTTCCAATTTACCCTCCTCTTTACCCAATGGTTGTGCCGTAAGCTCCCCTTCCCTTATCAACAATGAAGTCTCCCCAAATGAAAATCTTCTTGACTGCTTATGGGCAGTCATTTGTAATATGCTATCCAAATATGATGACATCCCCATACCGTCCCACGTTGCCCAAAAAAATTAATTTGCTCCACTCATTCGTCACCAAAAATGGCGAATCTGGTAATTCAATGGAACTGTAACAGTATTCGCAGTAAAAAATCAGAATTAACCTTTCTTATCAATAAATTCGCTCCATCTATTCTAGCCATTTCGGAGACTTGGTTATTGCCGGGTTCCCGCTTTAGGGTTTCTGGGTACCGGTGTCTCCGAGATGACAGGGATGATGGCTATGCTGGCTGTGCCTTTTTGGTCAGCCGATCCCTCACCTTCCACGCATTATCTCTTCCTCATTGTGATGGTATCAATGCTGTTGCTATGAGAGCTTTTAATATCTCGTTTATTTCTGTTTATATTCCCCACCCCCATTTCGACCTCATTTCTGATATACGTTCTATTATCCTTTCGGTTCCTCCTCCTGTTGTCATGTTGGGTGATTTCAATGCCCACCATGTTTCTTGGGGTTGTCATTCCTCAGATTCTTTTGGGTCCCTTCTACTAGATTTACTCGATGATATAAACATAAGTGTCTTGAATAATGGTTGTCCTACGAGAAGGAGTCTTCCATCTCAGAATCCCGCTAACGCAGTGGATTTATCACTTTGTTCTCCTGATCTTTTCCCTTTTCTATCCTGGCGTGTTTTTAAGAGCACTTGTGGGAGTGACCACTTCCCCATTTTAATTGATCTCCCAACCAATTTAAGGAGCGTTACTCGCCCTTCCCCTCTTTTAAAATTTAAACTGAATCAGGCCAATTGGTCAGACTTTTCATCTTCTATTGACTCTAAGATAGCTGCGCTCCCCGCAGTCTCTGCTGAAAACTGCCTATCTTCATACAATGATTTTGTCAACTCCCTCACCTCATCTGCCAGTTTACATATTCCACTCAAATCTTCTACACAAAGGAAAATTTCTCCTCCTTGGTGGGATTCCGAATGTACTGAGATGATTCGAAAAAGAAAAACGGCAGAAAGGTCATACAGTCTTTGCATGACCTTGGAAAATTTTTTAGTCTACCAACAAGCTTCTGCAGCTGCTCGCAGACTTCTAAATAATAAGAAACGTCTTGGTTGGCATAAGTTCTGTGAGAGCATGTGCCCTGGTACCCCTTCGTCTGTTGTTTGGAGGCAGATCAGAAGATTCCGTTGTTCCCTCAATTCTTATGATGTCCCATTTAATGATCCGTCTAGCTGGATTACCTCCTTTGCCGACAAATTGGCTCCTCCATCAGTCCCTTTTATGATTGTCTTCCTTATAAGTATAATTCTTACATCCCCTCTTCAAACAGTCTAGATTGTCAATTCTCCTTGGAAGAACTTAACAAAGCATTAAATGGTCTCTCTGACTCTTCCCCTGGAGAAGATGGAATCCCTTACTCATTCCTCATAAATTCTGCATTAGGCACTAAGAGGTACTTTCTAGATTTAGTAAACTGTTTTTTCGATCTTGGAATTATTCCTGAATCGTGGAACAGACAAATCGTCATTCCGCTTCTAAAACCTGGCAAAGATCCATCAGATTTCTCTTCATACAGACCTATTGCTTTGTCTTCTACCCTTTTAAAAATCATGGAACATTTGATTAAAATTCGTTTAGAATGGTTTTGTGAAAATAACAATATCTTTGCAAAATCCCAGTTTGGTTTCAGGAAAGGCTTAAGTACGATGGATAGCCTAGGTATAATAACGACCGACATTCGCATTGCTTTTAAAAAGAAACAGTTCCTGGTGGGTGTTTTCTTGGATATCGCATCTGCGTATGACCACGTGCTGGTTCCGGTGCTCAGGCAAAAAATGCTTCAGCTGAGTATTCCTGAGAAGTTGGTACGTTTTGTTTGCAATGCAGTTTCGAATCGTTATATTATTATAAGATCTCAAAATACGGAGCTGTCTCCTAGATCTATTTGGAGGGGCTTACCTCAAGGTTCTGTTTTGAGTCCTCTTCTGTACAACATTTACACCTATGACCTGGAGCTTGTTGTGAATTCCTTCTGTCAGATTCTTCAATACGCGGACGATGTAGCCTTATACTTTTCATCAAATTCTATTGAAGAGGCATCATCACGCCTAAATTCAGCTTTGGATTATTTGGGTGATTGGTTAAATGATCATGGTCTCTCTATTTCTGTGCCCAAATGTTCGGCGGTCACGTTTACTACAAAATACAAGGTTCCACGGTGTAACATTTCATATAAAGGGTCCTTGGTATCGTGTTGTAAGCAAGTAAAATTTTTAGGCCTTATTTTAGACTCAAAGTTAAACGGTGTTCCTCATTTTAACCATGTGATTAAAAAAAGTGAGAAGGGTGTTAATGTTCTCCGTTCATTATCTGGTGTGAGGTGGGGAGCACACCCCTACTCATAAAAGCTTTTATACAATGCTGTGGTACGAAGTCATTTTGATTATGGCACCTTCCTTTTAGATCCTGGCAACAAGCAAGCCCTTGATAAAATTTCCAAAATTCAATCGAAATCTTTACGCATCATCCTTGGTGCTATGAAATCCTCTCCCATCAATGCTCTCCAAATAGAATGTGTTGACCCCCCTGTATTTACGTAGACAATTTTTAAGTGACCGCTTCTTCATCAAAGTCCTTCAATACTCTTCTCATTCCATCTTGTCCAAATTACGTCGCTTATCTAATCTCACGATGCCATCTAGTACAGGTAATGTTCCATGCCTGTTACACAGTTTTAATAAACTTTCTCGTCTTCCTAATCCTGTTGAAAGTTTCCCTAGGAATCCCTTGTTTTTAAATAGTTATGAATCCCTCATTTTTGATCCTAAAATAATTTTAAACTTTGGAATTGAAAAAAATCCACCCAAGCTTCCACTTGTTTTCTGGAAAAAATTTCAAAAAGACTGGCAGGGTTGGTTATCGATGTATACTGATGCTTCCAAGATTCCCAATAATGAGTGCATCGGTGCGGCTGTATGGGTCCCTTCATTCAAAACAGTATTGAGCTTTAAACTTCCTCCATTGACCTCCGTTTTTTCAGGTGAAGCTTTTGCAATCCTAGAAGCGGTTTTGTATGCTGAGTCCCACAACCTAAATAAAGTTACAATTTTTTCCGATTCTCGCAGCTGTTTACAGGCAATTCTTTCCAATCCATTCAGGTCTAAAAAAACATAATACGATTCTAAAAATAAGAGAAGCTTTGTTTAGGTGTAGTAAAAAAGATATTCATATTGTACTTTTGTGGATACCTAGTCATTGTGGTATAGCGGGTAATGAAACTGCTGACTCTTGTGCAAAAGGTGCTATTTTCTGCGGATCTTGTCAGCATCCCAACATCTCGGCCCACGACCTATCAGCTCTTGCGTACTCCCACCTTTTAAAATCCTGGACTATTGATTGGCAATCTTCTAAAGAAAAAACTGGCAGGCACTATGCTAATATTCAGTATTCAATCCCTTCTTCGCCGTGGTTTTTTAAATATAAGTTTTTAAACAAAAGGTCACGTCTATAATCTGCCGTCTTCGTATAGGGCACGCTTGTACTCCCGTTCATCTAGCCAAAATTAAAATAAAAGACAGTTCTCTCTGTGAGTGTGGTATGGACGAGGGCTCGACAGACCATATATTTTTTAACTGTTCTTTAAATAATGACTCGTTATTTGACCATCTTTCTCCAGATTTCCCTCGTCCATGTAACCTTAACTCCCTACTTTCCCTCCCATCCAGCTCGATCGTCAAAATATTAGGGAAATTTATTTCTGTTAATAAATTAAAGTTATAAATAAGATTCTCCCCTTCATACCTTGTAGTAAAATGTTAACCTCTTGTATATATTATTAGATTTCTGTGTGTGTTGTATTTATTGTGATGTCATTTTTGTTTTGGGTAACTCTGCTTAGATAAAATTCAATGTATCAAAATTATCAAATCTATCCTCACTGTGTGAAGACTTAGAACGTGACATTGGCGGAATTGTGATTTACACAGATGTCGCCATTATAAATAAAGTGAAGTGAAGTGAAGTTCCTAGTTACTTTCCAGTTTCCAGTTTCCACAAACGTAAACTGCAGCAGCTGTGAAAACTTTAAACAATAATTATTGTTCTAATTGTAAAACCAAAAAACCAATTTAAGGTTTATAAAGTTTCTGGATGCAGACTACAAATTCATTATTAGATATTCACAAAGCAGTTATAAATAATCATATTATTTATGATGATATAAGAACTTAATTGCGTCTTAATAAAACAATACAATGGAAACACATCCATTAAACAAGGTTGGATTTTCTTTTTTTAAATTTGTTCCCCTTCATCGTTGTTTTAATTCTACGTAGTCGTTCTTAAATGATAACAATTATATTTGATGTTCATAATGTGTAGATTCTTTTGTTTTAGGCACATCAGCAGCATAGACGAGCCGAGGCACTTTTAAAAAATAATAAGTATGATGACGCCATGCAATGCCATCATAATGCTGCAGAATTACTCTTAGATGCAATGAAATCTACTTCATCTTCAGTAGCTCTCGAGTCAATTACTTTGCAGCATAGTTATCACCTAAAACAGAAGGATCTTATACAAAGCAAGAAAGAACAATATGTACGAGTTAAAAAGGCTATGGATATCTTTAAAAACATGAGCAAAGATTCACAAATAAATGTACCTGGCGAACCATCAAAAGTGCAAGTAGCAATTTATAAAAACCTTAATGAATCAGAAACTCTTCTTCATGAGTTATCAACTAATCAAGTTGCAGGTGAGATTAAAGATTTTGCTAAATTAAGTGAAGGAAAGGCTGAAAAATCCCAAAAAATTGTAATTGAAGAATTACAGACCCTGAATCATAGTTTGCACTCATTGGTTGAACAATTAGTTCTACAAGTGGAAGTTTTAAAAGATGAGAATATGACTTTGAAAGAAAGAGTGAACTTTCTAGAAAAGGAGAGAGTAAGGTATCTAAATATTTCACAAGATGGGATTACATTGAGTGATGAACCTACCCGAAATAATTAAATTAAATAATTATTATTACTATTTTATAGGTTATATTTTATAATAATGACTTACTAAATCAGAATAATTTCTCTTTAAAAATGATGGTTTGTTGGTACATTCATGCTTGGTTTTGATATCTTCCTTATCTCATATAGAAGATGGAATGATTGCACTCTGTATAGAAAATTGCTATTGTTAATTGTAAGAAGTGTTATTTTTTGTATTACATTTTTAATTAGTTAAACACTCTTTTCTTATTGTCAGATAGTATTTATTTATATATTTACATACCATGTATGGCCAAATTCTAACTTAAAATAATATTCGGTACTATATTCTTTAGTTAAACATAAATGATGGTAAATAAAAGTCATCTTTAAGCTTACTTTTTGTATTACATATTGGATTTACATAAAAATAAAATTACTCTTAACTTGAAATGTAAAAATAATTTCTTGAACTAAGTCTACATTTATCCTAAAGAATGTACACTTTAACAAATAACTATAAATAGGTATGTTAACAAGTTTTTTGGTAACAAAAAATATACACCAGTATACCATTAAACACTGTAACAGCTAATTTCGAGTTAAATTCAGATCTCTAAAAACACTAATGTAAAAAAATATTAATTGAGGCTGATTTTATGTGTAGTTCACTTAGCATAACCAAATGTATGTGTTTAAACGAGAGTATGCCTAACAAATAGTCATATTCAGAACTATTATTGCTACTGCTTTTGCACTGGTTAAACCGAAGATGGCAGATAGTAATAAATAAATAAACCATTGGCACCTTAAATTAAAATATTGCTAACAAAAAACTTATAAAATAGATAAAAGAAAAATTAATACTTTTAAACTAACATAATAGGTGATATTACTTTACATGGAATGGCACAACAATTAATTTGTTATGATAGATGGAGAATTTTTAAAACATTCATCACAACCACTATTTTAAGAACACAAGGCTTTTCTCTATTTTATAAATATTTAAACACATTTAGGCGAACATTGATAGTTTAAGAATTTAGAACAATAACAAATATACAAAAAATTACAGGTTAGTATTATATATTCTAGACATATTACTTCTATGATTATCACATTCTCTTTGATATACTATAATATGTAAAAGGCTTTTTTATTGCTTGAATGATCTTGCATAAGAATAATACATAATCAGAGATAATGGACCAACATTATGTAATATCTATACACAAAAAACTTAAAAGACAAATAAATCAAAATAAATAAGTGTTATATTAGAAAACAACTAATATTGCCATTGGTCTAAGATCCCGCTATACAACGACCTTCACCGAGAAGCTTATTTAATGAAACTTATTTTATATATAATTTAATATGTCAATAAATATAATCCATATGGGTTGCCTAGCAAATTTCAGTCCAGAGTATGTTTAATTAATTTAAAAAAAAAATATTTTTTTAAACATTTCACCGGTATGATTATTAGATAAATTCTATACCAATCGAACGTATGAAGCCCATAGAATATGCAAACGTTAGGTTGTTTTTAATCAATTAATTATGTGTATATTTTTTATGTGACACTAAAGTATATATACATCTTTAGTATAAAAGAAGGTTATAGTGATACATATATAATACTACCCTGATTAAAAATATTGATTGAAAAAGTTCAAAAATTTACTCCATGCAAATTATAAAAAAAATTTTTTTTTTAAATATTAATTTAACATACTCTGGACTGAAATTTGCTAGGCAACCCATATGGATTATATTTATTGACATATTAAATTAAATATAAAATAAGTTTCATTAAATAAGCATCTCGGTGAAGGTCGTTGTATAGCGGGATCTTATACTACATGTAAATCATAGTTTGACATAAATAAGGTAATTTACAAATTTTGATCTTCTTATATTTTTAAATGAACAATTAAATCCTGTAAATAGCCATATTAGTTTGTGATACAATATTATGCATTATCTCTATTTCTGAGGTTTTAAGACAAGTTCAGAATCATATTGTTAAAAATTTTGCAAACTAGGGCATAAAGCATTATACATACAAGAAATAGTTTTGGTTCTTTAATTTTTTATGTTGTCTAATTATATATTTATCATAAAATTTCAATTTTTGTTAGAACATATCGACGTAGGAAAGCACATTTGCTGTAAGTAGACATATTGCAATTGTTCACCAGAGCCAAAAAACTTTATTAATTTCGGAAAAAATTAATAGTGTCTGACCTATCCATGATATTGCTACCATTTTTGAAACATATATTTATTTAACTGCCAGTCACCATTTGCAATGTAAACTTTTTATCCAAAGTTACTATAAGTACGTGTTTGGCTAGTTACAGCAAACAGTTTTTTAAATCACAAACCTTTAAAACGCTGTAACTAAGGAAGAAAAATGTACGCGCGGAAATATTATCAAATTACAGGCGGTAAATATGCTGTATGCAGTAAATTTATGTATTTGGGTACTTTCAATTGCAATTCAAGATGTAAGATTAGTTTATAATTATGATTAGATCTAGAAATGCAGTGGGTCATTTGGTAATGTAATGTTCGGTTGAAATAAAATGTCGTAAATGGTAAAAAACACTAAAACTGTAGGTTCCCTAAGCTTGCTGTAAGTAAATGAATGTAAAAATCACACGCCGCTGAAATGCTGTAAGTAGCGTTAAGTTTTTAAATGGGAAGAAGTAAGTATTTGTAAAGAAAAAAATGCAGATTTTCTTTTGCTGTAAGTGCAAAATGTCTGAAATGACTAGATTTTGGTCTACATACAGCATTTAATCTTGCTAAAAATAATATAAGTACGGGCGTTTTCAACGGCGTATGTAATTTTTTTTTCATCGTAGAGACACAGGACCCAGGTCATTCGATGCGGCTTTTTTTTCTGATTCTAATGGCAGGAAAAAGTCACTTTAGGTATTTTGTCTACTTACAGCAAATATGCTTTCCTACGTCGATATGAACAATATTTTATTTCACATATTTAAAAAAATAGATTTTCTATATTTTTTTTCTTAACATTTTGTTTAGAAATAAGTCTTTATACCAATTCCAAAATTACAAATAAATTTATGACATGTTTGGCTGTCGAATGAAATTGTACCTTAAGAAACATTTTGGAACAGTACTTAACTATATCGGACTTTCTAGGGCGTATACGGTGGGGGTGGCGGCAAAGTGGACAAATCATCAAAAGGAAAATACTGTTGGGTGCCCAAAACAGGTGTGGCAAACGCAGGATGGGCTGATGGGGCATATCCGGCAGGGTAGGCACTAGGTGTGTATGGGGGTAATGCTGGTATGGATGGAGTGGGACCAACACTATGCGCTTCATAACCGTCCCAATCTTCCATTAGGTTCCTACGTTGGACATCTTCATCGTTAGAAAGAGGAGCGCCCCAGAGGTTGGCTGCAGAAGCTAAGAGGGCAGTGCAACCTGGAATAAAAATCACATTTTCATGAGGTTTGCTTAAGTACTAGTTTTCTCTTTGAAGTTTAGAAAGGTTTAGTTTTCTGGTTATATTATTACTTTACATTGAAAAATATATTACTTAGTGCATAACACAGCCTAGTGGCTATAAAGATACTAATTTTATACAACACAAAGGATTTCTTTATAAAAATTGTGAGTGATTGAGTGTAAAAGTGCAAGAATGGCGGCATTACAATAATGAAGTCATAAAAACATACACCATTCAATCCATTTTCACAAAGTATTTATTGAAGGGTGAATGGTTTTCAAATTTAGTAATAGAATTAAATGCTCCATGTTAAAGGTGAAATGGTTAGACCAAAAAGTCTACAGATGTTGAGAGGCACAGAAGGCTTATCACCTGCTTATTACAAAATTATCAAGTAGTAGTTTTGATTTTGAAAAATTACATTTATAAACACACATAATATTTACTAACCAGCTCCAGTTATAGTATAAAATCCATATTCATAATCAACTTGAATTTCATTAGGATCGCTGTTATTCACATTTCCCAATACAACTGTTGTATAGTAACAAACTCCTACTATTGCAATCACCCAAAACACACACACTATACTCGGTACCGCATTACGTCTTAACATTCTGATTGCTTGCTTATTCAGTGATGTAATGTTTATAAGCACACCAACACAGGAACATATTAACACCATGAAACATAATAGTATTAGAACTCTCATAAGTGATATTATCTCTGGTGTTGTGCATGGCGGAAGACCTAAAACCAAACAAACTGTAATAATGATGTAAATTTTCACATCTTAAAACTACTGTCACATTTGCCTAAGTCACCAATTACCATAACTCGGCATAAACTTGATATATACTTGACTTCCAGTGTCCCTGAACACAAATACATATTATGTGTAAGTGATGTATTTTGACATACAAGTCATAATTCGCCAAGTCTTGTATGTTTGCATTATTTGTTATTCCAAAGCAGCAAATAATTTTAAACTCATTTCCTCATTGCTTATCAATTAATTACCAATAATTACATTCAGAGAACATTAAACTGGTCAACTATAAAATAGAGTATGACAATTACCATTAAAATAAGCTTTTAAGGTTAGTAACCCTATATTTTTATTTTTTATTTACGTCATTTATAGCATATTTATACGATAATATATAACATATTTACATAACCCACTATAACTAGATATTAGAATGAGTACATTGCATCTAATTTACTAAAATATGGTTACTTTAAATATATAGCGACAATAGTGACTTAAAATTGAATGAGTGAGTGTACCTTGAGACATAAGAGATGGCTCTAGGTCTTACCATTAAAATCTGTTCCAGTCATAATATTAAAATGTCCATAAATATCTGCATTTTGATGAATGGATATTTCTGGCTCATCACTTTGATCAAATGTGAAGAACTGAGATAGAGAAAGGCTTTCAATACAATGTAGGCCTCTGATCCTGAACCAACTCGGCTGAACCAATGCAGCACATGTCAGCAGAAATGTACTCAAGTTAAAAAAGGCTGCTATTTTGTTTAACTCTTTGTCTTTGATTGGAAATGAGATTTTTAGCCCTGAAAAATGTAAAAGCTTATTTTAGATGAATCTTCATATTATGTACTTTTCATAAAATGTATTTAGGTTTGGCTAATCTTATAAATGTTTACAAAATTGATTTTATTTAAACATTGGTCTATTTAAAATGCAAGTAATATCATTTAATCATATGAAATAACAGTTGTAATGTCTAAAACTGTGATCTAATAATCATGACATCATTGTAAATTTGAAGAATATGTAACTTAGCTATTAACATAGTTATATATCTTAGCTAATAATTATATATCATAATTCATGCCTAGCTATTAATAGCATTTAATCCCCAACTGTGAAAATTTGTGGGTGAGCAACTTTTTATTTATGTGATCCTAATAAATTCACTAGAATATTCATTATTTCGTTAAATATCCATGAAATAGTAGATAGAGACTGTGTATGATTGTTTTCGTTGCTGTCTAAGTAAATATTATTTTTATAATTTGTAAAACGCTTCATGAAGAAATAACAGTAGAACTATTACAACATCTGCTACTAGGTGCGTCAATAATATCACATATAACATATCTTTTTCCAAATGGTTGATAAATACATCGTATTACCTCTAATCCAAGTTAAGCAACCCATGACGATCTCACCATGAGCACTGTTTACAATTCTCAGCTTTCCTACTTGAAATCACAATTAAAAACAAAAAACAGATGAAACCTGAATGAATAAGATTAATATAAACTAAAACATAAGGTTTTATGAATATGAAATCACAAGACACAGAATGTCGAAAATTCACTAGAGGCAGAAAATAAAAAAGTTGAAAACAAACTTCAAATTATTATTTGTAGAATGTAACATCAAACATGGCGAACATAGACAACTGACAATAGTGCGTATTGTCAATGTATATGTCATAATGATAGTTTTCTTTATACTGCGTTCAGAAGTATACTATTTAGTAATTAATAAATTGGTATTGATTATTTAAGTGTGTAAAAATTCAAAACTACTATTTCAATCCATACATCTTTTCATAATACTAGTTGATATCTATATCTATATAGTTTAAAAACTGTATTAATTTAAATAATGATATCTCACTTTTATTTCAAAAATGCAACAAGAGTTAAATTTTTTGAATCTATATACTAAAATGTATCTAAAAATTAACTCCTAATATATTTATAGTCACAAAATTAAATTTTAGTTGATTGTTTTTTCAATGAGAGACTGGCTTCCTTTAAATAATCATCATTTCGGAGAAAGCAAAGTATGTGGAATAAAAACTTCCGTAAAATTATTTAGACTTTATGTGACTCAGTAACATCACACAGTCAAATTAATCATAGACCGGCATTGGTTATGCTAATTTATTGAAAGCAATTTGGCGCAGCATGATTTATGTATGCATTTCCTGAATGCTAAGCGCAAATTGTCACAGCTGCCTGGGTATGTTGCTAAGGTAAACATTTGACTGAATTTCCAATCTTAAAATAAACGCTTAACAACAGCAGTTCGAAGTTGGTAAGTATTTATTGAAGTTCGTTTGTTTGCCCTCTTATATAAAATATATTCTTCATTTATTATAAATGTTATCTTCATTTGAACATAATCTTACTTTAATATCAGTTCATCCAAACTTAAATAAGAACCCTCAGAGGACACAATATTATATCACTTTTCCTTAATGGAAAAGCATTCAAGCATTACCTATTTCTAAAGCGATAGTTTTCGCATTCTACCACGCTTCATTAATTAAAAATGTGAATCTTTCAAAACATAGTTAAAGACTGTTGTATTACTATCATTACTGTTACCATAAGACATTATTAGATAATCTTCGGAACATTACTGGATTCTAGAATGTTCTAAGCGCTAGATACAACGGTGATAGTATGTATGGTACATAATATGAATGGCCTTATTTGCTAGGTAAAAGTTTACTATTAGTTTATAGTTCGATAATTCATTCACAGCACTCAGTGCTTTTAAAATGTTTCAGCGCTAACTTTATGAAACTGGAGCCACTAGAGTTATTGTTTGTGTTAAAGTTGTATCAAGTTTGCGGTATTTAGTGAAAATTTTCTATTCTTTTTAATTTGTTTTTACATTTCACTATAAATTAATATTATTCTCCGGACTTATGAATAACAACTAATTTAAGCTTCATATGCATTATAATATTTGTTTTTGGCCTTGTATAAACAATTCAGTGGCACTACAACCTTTTAAGGTCTGGGCTTCAGATTCCTGTGTCTGTATTGTAAGTAGGTGATCAGCCCGTACCTGATAGACGCCGATGTCGACTTTTTGGTTCTAAGACATGCCGTTTTACTCTTGACGTTTTACTTCACCATACAAGCGAATGTTAATTGCGCACATAACAAAAACTACATCGGTGAATAGCCGGGAATTGAACCTACCACCTCAGGGATGAAAGTCTTACGCTGAAACCACTTGCTTTGCTGCTTATATAACTAAAATAGTTAAATTTATTTAGTGAAAATGCTATGAGGCCAATTCTCCGAAGTAGGTGCGTGAGGAAACTGGAATATGACCTATTTTCCTGTAAAGAAAAAAAAACTGATTAAGGAACAGATGAGACCTATGGTTTATATATTTTTTTAAACATGCATTGTTGCCATCTCCCAATAATAAAAGTGCGCTCAAACAAAAGATACCAAAAAACCGTTAGCTTTGGTAACTTATTCTCGTCTCATCGCTTTATATGACCTCCTTTTTGTAATGGCACTCAAATCCAATCTAGAGCTTTTAGCTTCATATTGGGCGCTGGTAATTCCAAAATTCATTACATACGACGAAAGTCAAAGTTGGTGAGGACGACTTATAATTTACGAGAATTTAAACTTATTTAGGGTGGATTCGACCAAACAAGAGTAAATCTTAATCTTAGAATAAATCGTCAGTTAATCGAGAGTAAATCAATTTTACGTTTTACCATCTACAAATTCTAAGAATAGTTAGTGGCCCTATTCGGGAATTGTTACTATACCGCCGTTTGGCACGGAATAACAGCTATTCCTAGAATAAGTCAAGTCAGTCCAATCATCTGATTTCTGTCATTTCACAAATATGTATTCTGTGTTTTAATTTCAAGTCAACGCAACGCACTAAATTAATAGTCTGGCATTGTATAATGAAACGTTTAAACAATTTATTACTTATTTATTTATTTATTTTTAGTTTTTTTTTTTCTATAATATTAAAATGAAATTCAACGAGGCTCAACAGAACTTCCTTTTTAGACGACAGCCTCAAACAAACAACAAGTAAAAACTTTTTGTTGTCGTTTGACACCTGCCTACAGCTACTTTTTCACACTATAATACGGCAAAATCGAGTTGACATGATGTATGCTCTTACACTATCCCGTTGTAGAACAACATTTATTTACCGAGTTTTATTTTCGTTCACCATTCTCTTTGCTATTCGCTTATTGTTATTCCTAGCGCAATTATACTATCGATTACGTGGAGAAACGACTATGGATTTACTCGAGATTAAAATCAGGGAATAGATTATTCCTGGTATAGTTACTCGTGTATAAATTGAATTTTGGTCGAATCGACCCTTATTATTTTATCTTGAATAACTATGGTATAGATTATGCTTAAAATTATTTTTTTTATTTATTTTTTTATTCCATATCATTATTCTATCTTTACAGTAATTACTAATTCGATAGAACGACACAATATTTATACCCACACCAATTAACCTAGATAAAAAACATTAAAAAAATATATATATTTATATACCTAAATCTTATAACTAATAATATAGGAAGCAACTCTTGTTAACTCAGCCAGTGTACAAACAAATAGGTCTACCTTAACAGAAATTCTATTTATTATATGTATTGCTCGCGTTAGTGTTGCTTCGCTGACCAAGTTGGAATGTGCGCGCGGTACTTCCAAAAGTTGAGACTTCCGCCTCAGGTTTCTACTTGGTACCCGTAGACTCAGTCTCTCCATTATATCCAGATTATGAACCCGACCCGTAAGTATCTTAAATATATACACTGACAAGGCTAGCTCTCTTCTGAGGCGTAGCTGGTCATAACCCACCATACCCAGAACAAACAGGGTCGGGTACATAAGCGGATACAAAGGATACACTCCATACAGTCTCTTGTAGAGGTAACGGGTGAATTTATTTTATCGGAAATCGAAATGGCGAACACAAGAAACGTGTCGATCGCTATGTTCTTCGCAAACTAGGATACTAAACTTCATGTAAATCAAATAAGTTGCAAAACATTTAAAATAGCTAAAGAAATTACTAAACAATAGAAATGTTCTTATATAAATAATAAAATAATTAACCGATCTTCACCCGAAAGGCGAAAAATTTAATTTCGTTTCAACCGCAAATGTACCTAATAATTGGATTTCAAACATAATTTATAAAGGTAAGCCAATTTAATAAGTAACTTAATTTCTATAGACTTTTCAATGAATGCAAAGCTTTTAGCCTTCCAGCGAAGGATACGGCATCCGGGCTTTTGTTGAAAGCTTTAGAATTAATTTAGAGTTGTAAGATTGGAAAATTTACCGTTTTGGACCATATATTTAACGACTTTGAACCGGCGGAAATATATGGCCGTATTTTTATTTGTTTCAAATGCAGTACTTATTTAATTCAAAAGGTTTTTGTCGCTCGAGTAAATCCGTTATGCAGGCAATTTAGGTTGAAACAACACTTAATTTTCAAAGCTTTGTGCACGTTATACCGTAAAAGCTAGATAAAAAATAACATATTGCCTCGGCTAAACTAAAAATACAAGAGTCACACAACTTTGATATCGTTCCCTTTGTATAGCTTGGGCCAAGATCACAGTTCTAATTAAATATTTAAATTGGCGCCTTGTAGACAGTACTGGTGACCCCAGAGCTGGTGCTTTCCTCATTCAATGATTAAGAATCGCAATAAAGCGAGGCATTAAAGTAACACTGCCACAGGGACGAAACTTTTTACATTTATTTTAGTGTTCTATTTTTCGTGTTATAAACGTATCACCTTGACATATCAATTAATTTATATTGTGACTGAATAAAATACACTGGAAAAAACAAAAATCAACTACTCATAATGAAAACTAGTATTAATAATAAGACTCTCTAGAAAGACAAAACTAGCATCCCTTTTGCATGATCAGAAACATTGAAATATTGCTACAGATATTAAAGTACCACATTATCCTTGAATAGATTGTGAAATACCGAAGTGATATAAAACGAAACACGTAAAATTGCTTGCGAGATTATTACTGGCTGCCTGTTTTATGTGGGATTTCAATTTTGTCGTCGGCTGGATTTTATATACAGCTGTCCCAAAATCACTACGTATTGTGTCTCGAAAATCGCATGTTATTTCGAATGTGAACGAATTGATTTTTTTTTACTTTGAGACAGAGATTTTTACAAAATTAAATTTCACAAAATAAGTTCTTCTAACTCTCTTTCCAAATCACAGACATGGGTATATGGCATAATATGTTTTCTTTCGTTGTTTTCCTTTGCCATACGAGCGACTGTTGAACGAGCATGACATAGAAGGTCATAGGTGTACAACCGGGGTTTCCACCTATGATCTCAGGGATGAGAATGGTT